ACTCTCAAGAGTTCATTGTGATTAGGAGACTGTCAGTGCTGGAGAGGTGCATGTAAGCTTGGGAAAGAGGTCACAGTTTTTGAGGGGCAAGGAGTGGGAAAGCTAATGAGAGAAGACCTGGGAAGGCTGAAGATGGGGAGCAGAGCCAGATGCCAACCCTGTCCCCAGAGCTGGTGATACTGTCCCCTAGCACAAGCTATTGGTACAGCAGACCTCAGAGATTTTTCTCCACATTTGCCTGGCTCCCTCCCTTCTCCATCTTCCACTCTGAGCCCTGCTCAGTGACTCTTTTCACCTGCAACTCTGAAGAAAGGCAACTCCCTTTAGACACACAGGCCTCAGGTAGGTCTGAGCAGTGACAAACAAATCCACCTGCATTGACCCTGGGTTCCAGGACAGAAGAGAAAGAGCAGGGGAGATGAATGCCAAGCGAGGGGTTCTCTGGCAACTTTCCATAGAGGAGCACCCCAAAAGGAAGAGGAGAAAAGTCAGCAAGATGTTGTTGAGGACATAGTGCTGGGAGGGATAGGTGGACAGAAGAGGAATGTGAATCTCAGCATGGGCCAGGCCAGAGGTGGGAGACTGAATGGCAAAAGGAAGAAGTAGTTGCAAAAGTAATCCAGGAGGCCCCCCTCCCAGAGACCCCATCAGGGCTCTGGAGTCTGTGTATACTGCCGCTCACCCAGTGGCCCTGGGTTTGGTGATGTGGTGGAGGAGGCATCTGTGTGGACAGGCACAGAGCAGGTCTATGCTGAGGCTTCCCTCTTGAGGTTAGCACTCACAACAAGAATCCTTAGTGTCTGGTTGACCCAGAGGCCCAACCCCAGGTGCCGGGCCCCCATTGCAGAGATTCGGTTGTTCCTGGTAAAAAAAAAAAAAAAAAAAAATAAAACTTATGAGTCATAGTCAAGATACAGGATTAGTCCTAGGTGTCCATCAACAAGTGAGCGGATAAATAAAATGTGGTACCTATACACCATGGAGTATTATTCAGCCATAAAGAAGAATGGCATCTTGTCATTAGCAGCATGGATGAAACTAGAGAACATTATGTTAAGTGAAATAAGCCAGACACAGAAACACAAGGGTCACATGTTCTCTCTCATATATGGAAGCTAAAAAATATCAACCTGAAAATAGGTTAGTGACTACTAGAGTTTGGGAAGGGTTTGGAAGTGGGGAGGTGGAAAAAGAAAGTTTGGATCTGATCAGTGTGAGTATGGAAATATCACACAGAACACCATTACTTTGTACAATTAATGCACAATAGCAACTACGACAAAAAAAGACTCATTCCTCTTGCAGCTTTCCAAAGAGCTGTGCAGGACTGATTGCCCCAGTGTCTCTTCTGGATATTCTGTTGCATCCACCAGGATTGGCTTCTCATTCCAACCCTCCCTTCATGCCCAGGTCTTTCAGGCAACTCAGGGTGAAAAAGATGGGTATTATGCCGCCTCACGGGTGACTCCATTTCCAGGGAGGTCACCCAGCCAACAGGCCAGAGTGTCCCTCCTGTGGTAGAGACCAGCTGTCACTCCTTGGCCCTTTGAGCTCAGCAGGTGCCCCCACGTGTTCTGCTCCATGGTACCTACCCATCACCATGACAATAACTATCGATAATCACCTATCTCCCTGTTCTCATCCTCTCTTCTCCTCCTACTAAACCAACTTTGGGCTTCAACTCGGGGCCACCTTTTCTCAGGAGCCAGTCCCACTTCTGACTTCTCACATGTTGGCTCTGGCTGTGCCATGAATTTCAGCATTTCCTGTTGCTGCCTCCAGCCTTGGCTCTTCCCATGGGGAGGAAAGATGTGCTGGACTGAATGGGGCCTCTTGCCTGCAAGATGCAGCCCCTGGGGAGGGGCTCAGCCACAACAGCCTATAACTTGACTGACATCTGCCTCTTTTTTCCCCAGTGGGTTTGCCCCTATCCCATTATTACCTGTTGAGGGCTGAGACGCCGCCTGGCCTGGAGAAGAACCTCACTCAGAGCCGGCCCCTGGAGAAGAACCTCACGCAAAGCATGCCGGAGGGGCCACCAGTCAGAGCCTAGCCTTGCTCCATCCGGAAGAGGATCCATTGAAAGACATGGAAGTTCTCATAGGTCACCATCTTGTGCCAGGCCTTCTGAAGGTCATTCACACTTACATTTGGGTATCCCTAGCTACCTGCCTGCAGTGCAGGAATTAGGAGTCACAATGTATCAGTGATGATCTTGAGAGAGAAGGATGGAGCTGGATGTCTTAGGATTGTGGCCAAACCCCTTCCTAAGTAGACTGTCATAGGATCAGAAATGAAAATGAATATTAGTGAGATCACAGTGCCCCTGGTTCCTGCGTGATACCCCCATACTTCTCACCTCTTGTTGAGTTCTTCCAACGCGTTGTTGGCCTTGAGGGCCTTACCCACTGCAGAAGCTCCAGAATCTCCAGAACTATTAAAATAGATGTCTAGGACTTTCAGGAAGATGTTTGCCTAGAATATAAAGAGTGAAGCTGGGGGCTGGGACTGTGGCTCAGTGGTAGAGTGCTTGTCTCACATGGGTGAGGCACTGGGTTTGATCCTCAGCACCACATAATAAATAAATAAAGGAACAAACAAACAAACAAATATATTGTGTCAATCTGTAACTAAAAAAAAAAAAAGTGAAGCGGGGCCCACATCTGATGATGTAGAAAACCTGGGGGCCACTGTCTCAAAGCTCAGGAGGCCTGAGGTGCTTGGTTAGGGACATAATTAAAACAGGTAGAGGTCTCAATGCAGAGTGAGGAAAGTGCCGTACTGACCCTCATTTTCTGTGGCTTGGAGAATGATGACTAAAGGAACTGAACAGTCCCAAGAACAACAGAGGAAACTGGACCTCTGGACTCTGATCTGTGGACCCTCAGAGACCAGTCAGAGACCAGGCAGCAGTGGACCCTAGAGATAATCATCAGATTCCCATGCATGTGGGAGTTTCTCAATGATAGTGCTCCTAAAGCACAGAGGTGCCCTAGGGATCTAGTGTCTAAAACATATCAACTGAATGCAGCCTGCCTAAGGACCTCTAGATGTTGAAAGGGTGGGTACTCTGACAAGAGAGCAATATGGTATGCTACTGAAGCACATCACCCTTTTCAGTTGCCACTCTCAATACACCATTGATTAGAGGTGTCCAGGTTGGCCCCTACCGCTGAGAGCCCTGCAGTTGGGTCCCAAGGAAAGCTCTATCCTCTTGCCTGGGCTGGGAGTTGAGGAAAGATCAGAGAATCCTCCTATCACCCAGGATTAGAACCTGTATCAATGCATTCCGATACAAGAGGCCCGATTGTGCTTTTCCAGGAACCAGAATGCAGGACCTGCCTTATCCTGTCAGGAAGTCAGAGTGTATCTTAGGAAACATCTGTTCTCTTTCTGGCCTTAGAGCACATGTTCTTCCTCTGGTTGAAGAGTACCCAGACATGGCCCTGCAATGGGGACCCAGATAGCTATAAGTAGGTTATGGTTGGTGTTGTGGCAGCAGGTTGGCTACTCCTTAACCAGGTGTAGCAGATCCATAAAACCAGCCAGCCAGGAAAGGGTCTAGTACATGATGAGCTAGCAAGTGAGTGTGGGTATGGAGCAGGAGCTGAGTGCAGTAGTTAGCATTTGTGGGGGTGGGTAGGGAAGGTTTACATGTCAGCAACCAGAAGACAAGGCGCAGCCTGGGTTGGGCAGTAAGATAGGCTGGGTGTGAAATCAGTGATCCTCCAGATGTAGTCTTGTCTTATCCCCAGGGCAGTCTCATCCAAATCCCTCTCTTGGAAGAGTGGGCCTGCAAGCCTCATGAACAACCTACAAACCCTGTACTATGTGTACCGTTGCAATTGGCCCTCTGACTATCTCTTCTAAACATGGTGTGTATAATTTAAACACCATGGACTGTAGAAAAAAAGTGAATTTGAGAATAGTGTGTGCTAGCTCTGGAAATAAAGTCAGGTGTGCCCATTGGGCTTTGTGGCCAAGGACCATCAAAAAGAGGTCATACCGTCAGTGAGAATCAGCATGTGACTGGGCATGGTGACGCATGCCTGTAATTCCACCACCTGGGGGGGCGGGTGAGACAGGAGGATCATGAGTTCAAAGGCAGCCTCAGCAACTTAACGAGGCACTAAGCAACTCAGTGAGATCCTGTCACTAAATAAAATACAAAATAGGGCTGGGGATGTGGCTCAGTGGTTGAGTGTCCCCGAGTTCAATTCCTGGTACAAAAAAAAAAAAAAAAAAAGTTGAGAATCAGCCTGTATACTCTCAGCTATGTACAATAGTCAAATCCAGTATGAAGCCTTCTAGGTTTCCATGAATTGAAAAAATAGGACAATGAGGACTGGGGATATAGCTCAGTCAACAGAGTGCTTGCCTTGCCCTGGGTTCAATCCCCAGCACCACCAAAAAAAAAAAAAAAAAAAAAAGATAATGAAGCCAGGATCCGTACATTTCCCCCCAAGATCTACCCACTTCTTCCCACACTTCAACAATCTGAAAATTCTTCATAGGCTTTACTATTAGCCAAATGGAGGATCCCAAGGAGGTCAGTGATAATTATCATTATCCCCCTTTTTTCTGAGGTAGACAGATCCAATAGTGGCTGGTACAGCTTTCTAACCTACCAGGCAGTTTGGGTGTGGACAAAAGCCTGTTATGCCTCTGCATAAGTACCAAGTCTGAACAGGGTTTTATGAGTGTTCTCAAAAGGACTGGTTTCTTAAGTCCAATCTGTTTCAGGACCCAATAAAGGGTGCCTGGCACTGCCCCATGACTCCTACTAACACTATTCTGTCCTCCAGAGAACCCTGTGGGGCAAAGAGCTACACAGGCAAGAATGTCTGCCTCCTATTTACTTGTGTGGCATGAAAGGGTAGTTAAGAACCAAGCTTTCAGCTTTCCACAACCAAGAATCTGAACCCAGGTCTAAGCCATCTGGAGCCTGCAGACACTGGAAGAATGAACCTGTTACTCAAAGCTTAGTCAGACAGCAGGGCAACCATCTAGAATCCACTTTATTGTGCTATTTAGTGGTCTGGTGGATTCAGTTCACATCAGGTGCTCACTAGCAGATTTTGAGGGAGAAACAGGCCGAAGCCTTCATGATAGCCATTCCCTCAGGCCATACTGTTGCTCAGTTGCATAGCAAAGTCCTGCACATGCTCCTTCAAAGTCTGGCGGGCATCTGCCTGCGCCCGCTTCTCTCGTGCACGCTCCTGCTGCAGCTTGGTCAGCCGTAGTCTCAGCCTCTGCTCCCTCCGCTTGCAAGCCTGCAACTGGCGCTGGGCCTTGTCCAGTGCATCTAGGGCCGCTTCAGCCCTCCGCTTCCAGAGAAGGGCACTGCCCACCTGGTAGCTGTGCTCATTCTGGATGTAGGCTCCAGCAGGCGGGGGCAGGCGCAGCATGTAGGCTGAGGGAGAGATAGGTCGAGGCTCAAGAGGGGAAGTTTGCTGCTCTGGAGAGGGTTGCGTACTACAGCCTGCTTCATCAGCCTGGGCACCAACAGGGCTCAGAAGGTCTGAGAAGGGGCTGCTAAGGCCAGGCTCCAGCCTCCCAGATGGGGAGGCAGGCAAAGTGGCAGGTGCAGAGGCCTCTTCCACCGGAAAGCAGGTGACATCAGCAGGAGGAGGTGGAGAAAATGGAGTTGTGGGCCCTCGGTCTTCAAGGCAGCTGCAGAGAGAAAAAGGGATTGACAGGGAGATCTCATTTCAAAGAAATGCCCTAACATATGAAACCCCACAAGAGGGTTGGTGCAGTAAGAACCCTATATGTTGGCAAACCCTAAAGCCCACACCCTTAGTCTCATGGTAAAAGAAAGTGGGGAACATTTAACACCCATAGCACATACCGCTTCCTGCATCTCCGCAACCGGCTGACATCGGGGGGCCCAGGTAGATAACTATGCCCCTTGGTCTTGGTTGTCCGGCGTAATTTGGAGAAAGACTCAAATATGGTGGGAACTGCCCCTTCCTTCAGCCTGTGATAGCCACTGTGGGGAAAAGCAGCACTAATGAGCTGAAGAACAAGTGCTGCCACTTGGGCCATCTCTCCCTGGCACCCAACACAGCTTCCCCAGTACTGGAGGTTGTGGCAGGCTGGAAGGCACATAATAAACAAGTTTGAGAAAATGCCATGTTAGGCAGAATCCCACCAATCTCTTAAAGCTGAGATGGATGAAGCAGCTCCACCAACAGGGCTGGACAGATCACCCAAAAAGAATTCTTTTTGTGGGCTTGCTGGGAGGCCTGGGTGAGGAACACTCCCTGGAACAGCTGTTTTTCTCTGGTGTTACTGGCAAAGTGAAACTGGGAGTGCGCTTTACTGTACACAAAGGGGAAGGGAAAGCAGCACTTTTGGAACCATGGCTGCCTGTCCACCTGGCAAGCTGTCCTCAGGGCAGCTGCTCAGGGACTGCCTCTTCAAGACACAGCTGCCCCGCTGTATACTATGCTGACACCCCACACCCTGCCCAATGCTGGCTGGCAAGGAAGCCCACCTGATTCCCACCAGCTCAAAGCAGTTCTCCTCGAAATGTTTGGAGCAGAAGTAGATGTACTCAGAGGCAGGGTCCCACAGGCCCTGGCCGCTGGGGTCCAGCCGCTGACAGTTGGCCAGCCACAGGCTACGCCTCGGATTGTCCTTCTTGGGAAGTCTGCAGAACCACAAACCCGTGAGAACCAGGCTGCCGGAGCCCCTGGGCTCATGCTGTTCAAGTTCCCCAGGGAGGAAGAGTAGGCCCTGCACATGCCGCCAGGAGACCTCCCTGTGACCCTGTCGAAGAAGTACCCCCGCTACCTCTGGCACAGACCAGGAAACTGAGCCCTGGCGAAAGCAGAGCGCTCAGGGTCCGCTGGCTGGGAAGAGAAAGCACCAAGTAGAAGCCTGGTAAGCGTCCCGTTTTTCTTCCAGGACCGGACTTAGGCGCCAATGACCCGCCCCCTTCGCCCGCCCACCCACAGGTTCAAGCCTCTCGCGGCCTGGAGGAAGGGGAGGGACGAAAGCGCCATCGTGACTCCAGCGGAGGACAACAAAACGCATGCGCAAGGGAGACGTCGCGCACTAACACGCACGCGCGCCGACCTGTGGAAAGAGATGCCGCGGTTGCGCGTCTCGCGCGTATCCCGTGTGCAGCAGCCGGCGGCCGAGCAGTGGCGCGGCATCTGGGGAAGAGGCGGGAGCTAGGTCGCTGGCGGCCGTCCGGACCCCGGAGTGGCTTCACGACCCCAGCTGCCACGCCCTCCAGGGAAAAGTTGCCCGTAGGGACCCCAGTAGCCCGATCTCGGCCCAAACCCGTTCCAGCCCGTTCTCTTTGAGTCCCGTCAGCGGCACTCACGGTCCCGCCATTGCTGCGACGCGGAATTCTCGCGAGTAGTGGCGCTCAGCGGAAGTTGGTACCATAGAGCCTCCGGCGCGAACGGCGCTCACGAGCGGGGAGGCGGTGCTGAAAGTTTCCCAGCGGGCTGGCGCCGGAAGCTGCGGGCCTTGTCCTGTGTCGCGCCTGCGTCATCCGGTTAGGACCGTGGGATACTCGTCCCACTCCTGGGTTTTTCTTTGTCCAAAGGTCAGCTCTTCGTTAACGCCCCACTCGTTTGAAGCGGCTCCCGGGTGCTGGTCCGTGCGGCGTGTGCTCAATGCCCCGGGATCCTCGCAAGCCCACCGTCACCCAAAGGAAGGACTCCCTAACTCAAGAAAGCGCTCGCGCACACAAAGGGGTCCAGGACTCTTGCTAAGAAAAACAACCCACCGGAACCCCCTGCTCAAAACTTGACTCATCTTTCGGGGCGAGGGTTTGAGGGAGTGCTTACAGGCTGTGGCTCTTGAGTACACTTTGGGTAATTCTGGAGGTTTTGTTGTCTCCCACAGCGGCATGCGAGCAGTGGAGGAAGGCTAAGGACATATGTGGAAAAGGAAGTTAAGAACTGGGTTGACACAGCCCTTGGATACACGCCCTAGGCGGAGTCCACTGCACCCCCGAATGATTACTGGGTGAAACCCTTCACGATGTTGGAGGAAACAGACATCAGTGTGTCTGCCAGACAAGAATGCCAGGAAGGACTAAAGAGAATGCTCAGATTGAAGACATTGATAATTCCCTTAGGAAGCCCTTCCGAAGCCTTTCTGGGAGAAATGCAGTACTTAAGCATACAAACGTGCCTACCAATTCTCTAAAAGAAACAAAGGGATATATTTTCTCCTGAGGAATCCACTGGCAAAGGCGGGCCTCTAGACAGGCAGTCTGATCAAAGTACAGCACACAGAACAAATAATGCCTCAATAAACAAATTTTAATAGGTAAATATATCCTGTAAATGTTACAGTGTGCGCGCCCAGGAGAGAGAGTGAAAGGGAGAGTTGCTGCCAGTCATACCCTCCCAGTCAGTATTCTTCCCCTTCTTCAGCCTCTGCTTCCACAGAATCCACGCCCACCTCTTCATAATCCTTCTCCAGCGCTGCCAGGTCCTCTCGGGCCTCTGAGAATTCCCCTTCCTCCATGCCTTCGCCAACATACCAGTGCACAAAGGCCCGCTTGGCATACATGAGGTCGAACTTATGGTCCAGGCGGGCCCAGGCCTCCGCGATGGCAGTGGTGTTGCTCAGCATGCACACAGCCCGCTGCACCTTGGCCAGGTCTCCTCCAGGCACCACTGTGGGGGGCTGGTAGTTAATGCCCACCTGCCAGGGAAGAGGAACAACAAGAGTGAAACTGATGTAGGTTTCACATATGATGGCTTATTGAAAACTGGAGCACTGATCCCAGTTTAAACAATGCCCTGGCCTGGGATTGTATGTAGCTCAGTGGCCCTGGGTTCTAGCCTCAGCACCACATAAAAACAAATAATTACAATAAAGGTTTTTGGCATAAACTGTCAACATTTAATGTACTTTGACCCTACCATACTGCTTTTAGATTCACCCACAGGAAGATGTATCAGGTGTTTTTTAAACCTTTTTTTAATGTGGTGCTGAGGATTGAACCCAGTGCCTCACATGTGCAAAGCAAGCACTCAATTGCTGAGCCGAAATCCCAGTCTGATGTTTTAGGTTTTTTGTTTTTCTTTTAAATGAAGGTATTTTATTTATATTTATATGGTGCTGAGGATTGACTGTGTGCCCTATGTTTTAGGTTTTTAAGTACAGAGTTGAATCTTTGTTTTAATGGCAAAATTGGAAAGGATCATCCATTTATAAGCAACCAGTTCAATCGTATTACATCTCTAAAGTAAAACATGAAAATGAATGAGGGCTGGGGTTGGAGCACTTGGTTTGATCCTTAGGACCTCATAAAAATAAACGAAGCCATTCTGTCCATTTCCAACAACAAAAAACACTTATTAAAAATACAATATTACGGGCTGGGGTCGTGGCTCAGGGTTGAGCACTCACCTAGCCCGTGCAAGGCCCTAGGTTCGATCCTCAGCATCATGTAAAAATAAATAAATAAAATAAAGGTATTGTGTTAACTACAACTAAAAAATGTTTTTTTAAAAAACAATATTATGGGGCTGGGGTCATGGCTCTGCAGTACTGTACTTGCCTACCATATGCAGGGACCTGGGTTTGATCCTCAGTACCACATATGAATCAATAAAATAAAGGTATTGTGTCCAACTACAACTAAAAAATAAATATTTTTAAAAAAGAATATTACTTAAAAAACAAAAAGAAAGCAAGAAAAATGAATTGAGAACCCAGTTCAGGTATATCAATTTGCCTTGGGTTTGATGTATACTCATTAAAGAAAACAGTTGAATTCTATGTAGTTAAGTGTGTGTGTGTGTGGGGGGGGAGAAACAAACAAACGTATGTGGTTAGCATTACACTCAGAGTACAGCCTCAGAGGCTACTGGAACATGTGCTGAAACTGAAGCGCATGAATACCTGGGAGTGTGTTGAGTCAGTGACCCTGCACTATCCTGTGAACAGAAGTAGTTAGCAGGAGCTCTGCACACAGCTAGGCTCCAGAGGCTTTAGAAGGGGTAGAGGGAAGGGCACAGGAGCTCAAACTCTGATGGAGGGGGTGCCCTCCCACAACTTTAAAGCCCAGCCAACTAGCCCTTGTAAGTGGCAGTGCTGCCAGACTCCTGTTCTGTTTGGCCAACTATATGCAGGAATTTGGGTCTGCCACCTACAGGGAAGGAACATGCATCCTTTGCCCATGTCTGTGACTTCTCTGTCAGCCAGCATCACCTGTATAACAAGAGGCATGGTTACCTGAAATAGGCAAAGACATCTCTTAAAGGACAAAAAAGCTCTGGAGAAGGGGAAGAGGATTTCAGCTTTTCAGCCTTCCACCTTGTTTCAATATTTTATACTGATTTTGTAGTATAAAAAGGCCAAATGATGGAGTTGAGGATTGAACCCAGTGCCTCCCATGTGGTCAGCAGTAGAGCACTTGCCTAGCACGCCCAATGCCCAGGGTTTGATCTTCAGCACCATATAAAAATAAATAAATAAAATAAAGGTACTATGTCCAACTATAACTAAAAACTAAATATTAAAAAAAAAAAAAGAAGGCCAGGGCTGTGGCTCAGTGGTAGAGCATTTGCCTAGCATGCGTGGGGCACTGGGTTTGATTCCTGGCACCACATACAATAAACAAATAAATAAAAACAAAAGATGTTGAGTATTAAAAAAAAAGCCAAATGGTTTTAATCATGGAAGAGACTCCTTGAAAATAGTGTATCCCTCAGCAAATGGTTGCAAAAGAATGGCTGCCAAGTCACACTCCAACTGACAAGAAAGAACTTAGAGCAAGGAGAATTCAACAAGGCCCACCTAGTGCTGGATGGTCTTCTATAAGGGGACAGCAGAGGCTGACACACACACTTTCCTACAGACCTGCCTCCCTGCTGCCTCTTAGAACCACTCAGCTAGGACAGCAAACCTGGGCAAGCATCTTGCACTTGCCCTGCCAACTAAGGCTGCTTTATATGTCCTCAACTCCCAAATGTCTCACCTACTGGAAAAATATTTTTGTTTCTCAAACCAAAGGCTTAAAAATTAGAAACAAAATGGAAAGTTTCAACAACTACCTGTAACCTCTAACTAGCTTCTGCTACCCCTGTCTTACATTTGATGACTATTTCAAGGTCAGCAAAGTCTGTAGTAGATTTTACCTGCTTCTATGAGTTACTTTAAACTTGACAAATGAAAAATACCATCTTACCAGTAATCTGTGTGCAGATGTCTTTGTGAACTGGGGCTGAGAGGTTTCAAAACGCTTCCTGTAGTAACAGGCAAGCCATGGCCATTCCACATCAGAAGAAGATGATTAACACATATTCCTGTGATGTTTTCATTCTGGAATGACCTTTACCTCCCCCAACACCTCAGGAACTCATCAGGGCTTACAAATATGGGGCCCAGTTGGGCTTGGTGGCACACACCTGTAACTGCAGCAACTTGGGAGGTTGAGGCAGCAGGATTCAGAGTTCAAAGTCAGCCTTAGCAGTCTAGCTAGTATCTAAACAACTTAGGGAGACTCTGTCTCAAAATATAAAAGTGTTGGGGATGTGGCCCAGTGGTAAGAGCCACTATGTTCAATCACTGTTCAATCCTTAAAAAAAAAATCGGGGCCCAGAGCTTTGAATAAATGGAAAACTATTATGGATAAGGACTGATATCCACAAACCAGAGGGCAAAGAGTTGAGGAACACATGTATGGGGAAGCATTTAGTCTGGTAATCCAACAAGTGTTACAGCCTGAGAGTCTAGGATGGCTTCCACATACATGGTGCTTTCCCCATAATAGACGTCAAACCTACCCTTTGCCCACACTTAAATGCTTAGGATTGGGGTTGTGGCTCAGTGGAAGAGCACTTGCCTCGCATGCATGGAGCACTAGGGGTGATCCTCAGCACCACTAAATAAATAAATTAAATTAAAAAGTTGTGTCCATCTACAACTAAAAATTTAAAAATAAAAAAACACTGAGATACACATTTAACAATCCATTCATAAAAACATAAATAATTTCTAAAATTCAGGCACAACAGGTAAACAACATCAAGTAAAGTAAAAATCTACCATTTGGACCAACGAAAAAGGAATCATAGGCCCTGACAAATGTCTAAAGTCAGTAGAGAGGTGAGAGATCAGGGTCTGCTGCCAGACCATTTCTGAATTCTCCTTCCCATCACTTGCAGGCCCCTTAAAGGTATCTCAGCCTCACTCTTCTAAACTATTAAGAAACTGGCAACACCAACCTCACTATCAACTTTAAAGCATGGTTTTAAGAAAGGAGTGCACAGAATGAATGTATTACATGAAGAATGAAGCTGTTAGCTAATTAAGGACTGCTCTCCTTGCAGTCTCATTAACATCAAGAGGCAACCTCCCTGAAGGAGGTGTGCCTTGAGGGTCAGCACCAGTGTGCACCTGCTGCTCCCTGACTAGCAAGGTGACTAAAAAGTACCCAGTCCTACCTTAAACCCAGTGGGGCACCAATCCACAAACTGGATGGTGCGCTTGGTCTTGATGGTGGCGATGGCTGCATTGACATCTTTTGGGACCACGTCCCCCCTGTACAACATGCAGCAGGCCATGTACTTGCCATGGCGAGGGTCACACTTCACCATCTGGTTGGCAGGCTCAAAGCAGGCATTGGTGATCTCAGCCACTGAGAGCTGCTCGTGATAGGCTTTCTCCGCCGAGATGACCGGGGCATAAGTGGCCAGGGGGAAGTGGATGCGGGGATAAGGCACCAGGTTGGTCTGGAATTCCGTCAGATCCACGTTCAGGGCCCCATCGAACCGCAGGGAGGCCGTGATGGAGGACACGATCTGCCCAATGAGACGATTGAGGTTGGTGTACGTGGGCCGCTCGATGTCCAGGTTGCGCCGACAGATGT